CTCCAATGTTAATGGGTGCTAAGTGCTAACACATGCTAACCCTTGATAAATTTACCCACAAGTGCAGTAAATGTAGTTACAACTTTGATTTCCATGAGTTTCCCCATTGAACCATCCATTTAGAACAGGCTTTCTCTATTGCATCTATTGGACTACCACTACTGCTACAGAAGATACTGATCAGGTCCAAGTGTTTTCACAAACCCTGGGCTATTATATGGTTGTTTTTAAGAGTAAAACTGAGAAGGTTGTCTTCAGGGACGTGAACTTCCCTCACAAATACATGGAGCTGAAGGAAGTCCGCTGTCCAGACTGTTCCCGAGAAACCACCTTCATCCACCGTCAATCTCACCGTCCACGCTGTGTTTGTGCCATCGAACCTATTCTTAGAAAAGTCCTGCCGGTGGGAAGTTTGAGGGGCAAGCAGGCATCAGAAGTCATCAGCAGGCATCAGCAGGCATCAGCAGGCATCAGCAGGCACCACTGTTTGCACGCTGTCTTTCATCTCTGTGGACAACAAACGTATGACTGACGGCCAAGTACGATATTATAAAAGAATGTTATAATTTTCTGAATGGCCTGTGCACTAGAATAGCAAATGTAATATAGGCAAGGCAAGGCAAGTTTATTTTTATAGCACAATTCATACACAAGGCAACTCAAAGTGCTGAACAAAACAAGATAGAGACACAAGGCATTAAAATCATAAACAATCCTCGAATATTAAAAAAGAGTGAATATAAAATCCCTCAGTTGTATGCAGCTGAACAGAACTGTTTTAACCTGGATTTAAACATTGTCAGAGAAGAAGCCTGTCTCATATTTTCAGGATGACTGTTCCAGATTTTAGTTGTGTGAATCTGAAATACTGCCTGCCCATGTTTAGTTCTGACTCTGGGACCAGCAGGAGTCCAGTCCCTGTGCTCCTCAGAGTCCGAGTTGGTTCAAATGGTACTAACATGTCACAGATGTGCTTTGGTGCGAGGCCATGGAGAGACTTGTACACAAGCAGAGCTGTTTTAACTGTCTGTTCTCTGAGACACAGGAAACCAGCGCAAAGACCTGAGAATTGGACTGATGTGATTTTAAGCACAGTCTTTTTGGCTGTTTTGCATGCACTGCTCTATTGAGGTCTATCGGATTTTCAATTATTTTTGCAACTAGAGACAATGAAGGTCATTGCAAAACGAATGGATTTTGCAAGACATCCCCAAAGCATGATGGATCCACCTCATGCTCACAGCTGCACATGTTTTAATTTTCTGTTCATGGGTCATTAATGTCTTTTATATTAAAATGCATTTTATAATTTTGACTACATTTCTCCAATGGACCCTTATCTACTGTTTTCTGCCTCAGCAGATACTTTTAGGGGTCTATGCTGTTTCTACCTTTAATTTATATATTTCTGATGGCACTGCCCCCAAATAGATTAAATAGAAATGTATGGGACAATAGTAAGTGTATGATGAGATACCTGTGAGAATCACAAACTAGAAACACTTTAGTGGAAACTTTTCTTCTGTGGAAGCGCTGTCGACACAAACACCTGGTATTACTGTAGATAAGTCTGTCTTCTCATGGCTTCAACTTTATCCATAAAGCTGTGTGATTGGTTGATTGGGTTGATGCTGAAAAACAGCTGTAATGAGGCCAGTGTGGGAGGACAGGGGATGTGCTTTCATAAATACAGACATTCAGGAGCAGCAAAAACTCCTCTTGTTTTTTTTCTCACTATTATATAGACGTCAAGATAGTTTAAACAAAGGAAAACAAATATCTGTGCAGGTTGGGATGTTTACAGACCGAGTGGCATCAGGCCAGAGCCGGGCTAAATATGTGTCCATGACTTTGAAGATGACTTTTGGGCAGCCCACGTTATGATAGTATTATTATTAAAGCTAATGGTATGATGAATAAGTGTTTTTAGCAGTAATGAGCCAGTGTGGCTCCTAGCCCAAAAAAACCATAGTCTTCCATTGCTTATCTTTAAGTCAATGAATGATAAATGTGTTGATAATACTGTTTGTCTGATGTAAGTGATGGATGTGTCTGGTGTGGGCCGGCACCAGAAGCCGCACTTTCTGCTAAATTAAGCAACACGAAAGAAAAATACATAAATCAGGATGTCCCATCAGAAGTGACCAAGTGCACCATTGTTTTAGTTCGAGTGGGCAGCCATCCTGACAGACAGTGTGCGCAGACCCTGGGAGAGGACAAGAGGTCCTCTGGCCGCCGCAGACAAAATGTGTCATGTAAGAGCTATGCTTTGTTTATAAGTTAGGCAATGTGACAGCTAGTGGCCCCACCTAAACCCTTCATGACGAAAAAAAAACTGCCTCAAGGTGAACTCTGCTGATTTCATATTGGACCCCAATATAGACCCTGCTGGGGCTATAACAGTTACGGTTCTATTTGTGTTACCAATTTTGTTTTCCTTTTAGAACATAAAACATAAACAAGAACACTGGTCCAGGCCATGAACACAAAGAGAAACAGGGTAAAGAATCATTGATCTGTACATATCAATGATCAGAGATCAGACAACATCAGATGTCAAATCACTGTAAAAAATACAACTCAAAATTGTTCACCTTACTAAGATTTTTGCATTCACTGACAATAAAATTACCAGTTGGAACTTGAACTGTCTGTTGTGAGCCACTTGAACTCACTTTCAGAAGTTTCTGATGAAAAGTTCATATTATTTAATATATTAAGTTGATTTTACTTTGAAGTTGTAGAACTTCTGGAAGTGAGTTCAAGTGGCTTACAACAGACAGTTCCAGTTCCAACTGGCAATTTTATTGTCAGTGAATGCAAAAATCTGAGTAAGGTGAACAATTTTGAGTTGTCGTTTTTACAGTTCACCGAGCTAGATTGAGGTCAACTTATCTGCGTTTGCTCATTTAAACATTTGTCAGGGCAACCAGCTGCATTCAACATTTTGAAAAAACTAATTTGACCAAAAAATCTTTGTATTTATTTTTACCAACCGTAATCGACAGGGCCAAGCAAAAGTAGCCCTATATATCCCCTGGGTCAGTCTTAGAAACATTACTTTTCCCCACTAATCGGGTTCACAGTGTGTGCAGCACCGTGGCTGAGTGGATAGCACTCTCACTTCTTGACATGAAGGTCCTGGGTTCGAATGCTGATCGGAACAAAGCCTTTCTGAGTAGAATTTGCATGTGCTCCCTGTGTCTGCATAGGTTTCCTCTGGGTGCTCTGGTCTCCCCTGCCCCAGTGACCTTGGTCTGTAAAATGCGCTGTATAAATAAACATCATGATGGTTTAATGTGGGGGCTAATTTAAATTCAAATTAGTAAGTTATTGTAGGGGACAGTAATCTAAACTCAAAAAAGTAAGTTTTTACAGACTTGAAATTTCCAGTAACTTGAATTTAAAAACTTAGTTGGCAGAACTTGGAAAACTTAGCTGACACAACTTAATAATTGTAGTTCTTCAAAACGTGAAGAATTAAGTTAATGCCTTCAACTCAAAAATCCTTCGCAGCTGGTTGCTTTGAAATTTTGAGTTGAACTAACTTTTTCTTTTTAACAGTGTATCTATATAATTGTTATTTTGTAGATCTCTAGACATAGAGTAGATATATACTAGGATTATCATCTCTGTGCACTCTGTGGAGAAGCTGCTCCAGACCTGCAGATGATGTCCCTCATTACTCACACTTATTTAGTAGCTAATGTAAATAAAAGGTCTATCTTACATGTAATTTTTCTGCAGCATATGTAACAGACCCAGGTCCTGGGCCTGTTTGAGCAGATTAATAAATGTTCCTGAAAAATACAGGATAAGGATGAGTCAGGCGGACACGGTGTTTCCTCTTGTCTCGCTTCAGCCATATTTATTAATACAATCATGTGTTTTCATCCTTCAACATTTACAAATGCTATTCACACAATCATGTATAATAATAATCACATTTCAATCACATTTTAATCATTTAATCATGTACAGTAAATGTCTAAATTACCCTTGACACTGTATCTAGTCAATTATATACTTTTTATCTATTTATTTTGTCTGTATTTAATATACATATATCATATCTTATTCATAATGTAGCTGTACTACTTTTTTAAACTACTACTTATGTACCACTACTAGCTTAGCAGCTCCTGAGCTACGAATACTGGCTTTAACTTCAGCTGGAGACCTTTTTAACTGTAATTATTCAAACCTACAAACATTAACTTCGAATGTACACACAACAAACTATGTCAGGGCACGTAAAATTCAGTATCACTATCTAAATCGGAGCTTGAAAAATAAAATACGAGACACATAAGATGGCGGCCGTTACTTCGCCTTGACCAGTTCCTTGTCTTTTCCGTTACCACACAAAACTTGACAAAACTACAGAAAAAACTCATTTAAAACATTCTAACAGTTAGCTGTTACCGTTATAAGTATGTTCTGACCCATACATTGTGCTTGTGACATTAGTACGAACCTGAAAAATACAGGATAAGGATGAGTCAGGCGGACACGGTGTTTCCTCTTGTCTCGCTTCAGCCATATTGGTGAAGGAGCGCCACTGACCTCATTACACCTGCTCACCATACACCACCTGCTGGCTTCAGGGTGTTACTACAACGTAAACGTCCTTGTTATGAAACAAGACTTATCTAAATACTAAATACAATTAAACATAATGTGACAACACATTACTGGGTGTCACACGCTCCCTGACAAATAAAAATGGCTCCTGACATTACAAAATACAAAAATCAAACACTTTACAACTCAAAATCTTAGTCACCATAACATGGGTGTGGCATAAGTCTGTGGGGCAAAAGTATGCGGGATATTAGGCACAAAACCAGCACCAAATGGAAAATAAGGTGTGGCTACCCATGGCTGATACGGCATGTACGGTGAGAGGGTGGAAACCATGGCTTGTGGTTGAAGGGTAGGTTCACCAAGTGACTGGTAGGTAAACACTTGCCTCGGTCTCCTTTCTCTATTTGACCTCCTTACTTCAGTCTGTAGGTCAACTGGTGTCTGTGGAAGTTCTGGAGGTATGAAAACATTACCTTCTTCACTTCCTTCTCCAGAGTGAGCTGGTGGGGCTGATACCACAGGGGCGGGGGTCACCTGTGGCACATGGCTGTCTCTTTCAGTCTGTAAGTGTCCTTCTGGCGCACTGGTTCCATCACTGTCTCTTACTGGCAACAGAAAGCGGTTACTCGTGTTCTCAGGGGCTTGGCTTGTCTGGGGCAAGTCAGGCTGGCTAAAGTCAGTACCCCTGCCTACTTGACCAGTCGGTCTAAGAGGAAACCTCAACCAATAACCCCCTGTACTCTCGTCAGAGTCTGAGTCGCTAGAGTTACTGTTATGCATGTCTTTTCTACTAGACTTTTTCTGTCTTGTCTGTCTTTTGGATGTGGGTTCGGGCCTAATAGGCGGGGTTTCTACTGGGAGATCATTAACCAGTAACAAGAGGTTACGATGGAGGACTCTAGTCTTACTCCCATCACTATTCTCATGGTAAACTGCATATAGTAGGTTGTCACCTACTTGTTCTTTAACCAAATAAATGTTTTTCTCCCAGAAAGAACGTAATTTCCCCGGCCCCCCTCGTTCACTAAAGTTTCTAACGAGGACTCTATCTCCAGGCTCCAATACAACACCTTTTAACTTTTTGTCATAGTAGGACTTGCTTCTGGCACTAGACTGTTTACTTTTCTCACTGGCTATCTTGTACGCCTCTGTCATTTTTGTAGCCCACTTATCTGCATAGCTCTTGTGTGACACTGTCTGTTTGTCCCCAACTAAACCAAATAAACAGTCAACTGGGAGACGTGGGTGGTGTCCATACAGCAAAAAGTAAGGGGAAAACCCTGTGGATTCATGCCGCGTACAATTGTAAGCGTGAACTACATGTTGTAAATGATCTTTCCAGTGTTCCTTCTGCTTCTCACCTAATGTCCTTAACATCTGCAGAAGTGTCCTATTAAACCGCTCAGCTGGATTACCTTGCGGATGATACGGTGATGTTCTCGAGTGTCCAGTCCCAGACTTCTCCCTCAGAGTCTTGAAGAGTTCATTTTCAAACTCGCGACCTTGGTCGTGGTGTAGTCGCGCCGGGTATCCAAAGCGTGGGATGAAGTCTCCAAAGATGCGTTCCGCTGCCGTCTTCCCAGCTTTGTTTTTGGTTGGATACGCCTGGGCATACCGAGTGAAGTGGTCTACGACGACAAGGATATACTCATATCCCCCTCTGCTGGGCTCTAGATGAAGATAGTCGATGCAGACCAGGTCCAACGGTGAATTTGATGTGATGGAGCCCATGGGAGCACGGACGGGCGCTGTTGGTTTCTTGCTGATAATACATGGGCATCTTCTTGTGACATAGTACTCAATTTCATTTTTCATGTATGGCCAATAGAATCTATCTCTTGCCAGAGCTAGTACTCTCTCTGTGCCAATATGTCCCATATTGTCGTGCAGATGTTTTAACACAATGTCTTTGTACTTGGCAGGGAGGACTAGTTGCTGTCTGTCACCACTCTGTCTGTACATAAGTCCGTTTTCAAAATGCAACTTGTTCCACTCCTGCAAAACTTTTCTTGTTGTTTTACACACAGAGTTTCTAATTTCGTGTGTTAAAACAGTCACATTTTCTTTCAATCGGATGATTTCACCCACAGTTTTGTCCTCTTTTTGTGCTTGAGCAAGTTCTTCTTGGCTAATGGCTGGGACAAGTGACTGCGGTTCTGAGTTCACATTGGCGAGGACAAGGGCAGCAACATACGCAACCTCACTGTCCTGAGCAGCTCTAGCGCCATTCCATGTGGCTTGAATCACGTGGGGTGATAGTTCCTCAGTACACTCATGTACATACTTGTCAATATTCAGAGGCAGACGGGACAACGTGTCAGCGTCCACATTTGTCTTTCCGGGTCTGTACTTTATCTCAAAACGAAAGTCGGACAGTTCCCCAACCCAGCGATGTCCCACAGCGTTTAGCTTGGCTGTGCTCATTACATAAGTTAATGGGTTATTGTCAGTATATATCGTGAAATAAGGGGCATAGTACAGGTAGTCTCTGAAACGCTCACACACTGCCCATTTGAGTGCAAGGAATTCCAATTTGCCACTGTGGAGACGATAGTTTCTTTCGGCTGGTGTGAGTGTCCTAGACCCATACCCGATGACTCTTAGCTTCCCGTTCTGGCGCTGATACAGAACAGCACCCAAGCCCTGTTCCGAGGCATCTGTGTGGAGACAGAAGGGTAAGTTAAAATCCGGATAGGCCAAGACTGGAGGACTGATGAGCATGTCGATTAATTGTTCTAATACTTGCTGATGCTCATTAGTCCACTCAACAGGGGCCTTGGATGACAACTGAGGACCTTTTGTCTTTGCTTGACAGGACTGGTGAGTTGACACGCCTGGTTTGAGTTTCAACAGTTCATATACAGGTTTTGCAATGCGCGAAAAGTCTTGTACATAGCTACGATAATAACTCAGAAAACCTAGTAGGCGCCTTACATCACCAACTGTCTGTGGTGTCTTTGTTTTTAGTGACTGAACAGCCTCTAAGTCCTTAGGGTCTATTCGCACACCCTCTGCTGATACAAGGCGACCTACATATCTCACTTCTCTGCGAAACAGTTCACATTTTTCAGGTCTCAACTTTACACCATGTCTTTGGAGTGCTCTCAAAACTTGTCTAACACCCTCGACATGTTCTTCAAATGTTGGTGCATAACACAAGATATCGTCCAAGTATGGAATACAACAGCTGTCTCTGAGCGAACATAACATTTCCTCCATACTTCTCTGAAAGGCGGCTGGTGCGTTTGAGAGGCCAAAAGGTATTCGTACCCACTCGTAAAGCCCCCAGGGAGTGACGAAGGCTGTGAGGTGACGTGAGCCTTCTGCCATGAATCCCTGGTGGTACGCCTTGCCCTGATCGAGGATACTGAACCAGGAGTGCCCCCCTAAAGTGTCTGTCAGATCTTGGATTCGTGGGAGAGGGTGCTTGTCCGGGTTTGTTTTCTGGTTCAGTAAACGGTAGTCTATGCAAAGGCGCAATGAGCCGTCCTTTTTGCGGACGCACACGACAGGAGCTGCATATGGAGATTTTGACTTTACAATCCACCCTTTAGCGAGGAGATCTTGTATGTATTCTTTCACTTCGGAAAACAAAGGCTTCGGCACAGACGAGTAAGCTCTTTGTACAGGGATGTCGTCTTTGAGGCATAGTGACATTTGTAAACTTGGGATGCAGCCGATGTCATTAGTGTCCTTAGCAAAAGCTCCTGACTCCTCAAATAACATCTTTTCTACAGTCTCTTGTTGGTCTTTCTCAAGTTGACTTAGATCTACAGGTGGTTGCCACAAAGTTAGTGAAGGTTTTATCTCAACTTTTGCAATAGTGGCTGTATATCCCTCAGCCTCAACATCATCTAGTAAATCTGTCTCAATCACTTTCTTTATTGGCTGAATACTACCTATAGCAGACTTTCTTGCTAAGATAATATCATGTTTTGTGTGATTTTCAAGTGGCACAGTTACAAAGGGTACTTTGCCGGGTTGGATCTCAGGAGTCCTTCGCCTAGCCCTAACTCTTGTAACTGAACATAACTCTCTTCTGGCTCAAACAGGACTAATTTCTCACTGGGGTCAAGCTGAGGTGGGACTTTACACCTTACCCAGGTAGTACTGCCTGCAGGGATAACTGTCTCTTTGTACCCTAACCTTAAGCGACCCTGGGCAGCGTTCACTTTACGAGTTTGAATAAATTGCACCATACCCTGTGCATCGTCTTCTGGAATGGACAATGCTCCCCCAAGTAACTTAGCTAAATTACAAGCTGCCTGCTCTGGGCTACCTTGAATGAGTACCTCCACTACATTGAAACCTATTAGTGGCGTTTCTAACGGCTGCGAACTGACTAGGAAAGGTACATTTAGTGAGAGCCTTGGATCTTCATTACCTGGTAAGTTCACTGTTAAGATAACCCACCCATCAAAAGGTAAACGTTCCCCATTAACAGCATAGATTATAGGCGCTGACTCAAACTGCATTAACTCCATCAGTTCTGATATAGGGCGGACACTAACATCTGGAATGTACTTGTTTCTCCAAGCCCTATCTATCAGACTAACCTGGGCCCCAGTATCTACAAGAGCACTAACAGTTAAACCATTAAGGAGACACTTGGTAGTTGCTTTCTTCCCTATTAGTTTCACTATTGGTTCATTGTTACCTACTGTGGCTCGAGTGTGTTTGCTGTGTTTATTCAATGTTCGTTCTCTTGCTTTTGTGTGGTTCACTTGTGTCGTTGGTGCCGTTTCAGTCTCAAGGCGGGACCTGGATGTCATCCCGGTTACTGTTTGTCCCTCTGCAGCAACCGGCTCTCGTTTCCCTGCTGCTTTAGACGCTTTAAGCAGCCGATGGATCTGTGGCCTTCTTCGCCGCAGGAGAAGCAGTGGTTGCAGTTTTTGGAACCTGCCTGGACACACTTAGTACAACCATACAGTCTTTCAGCTTTTGTTGCAGATGGTCTGGATGCACTGCTGTCACGTTCTTTTTGTACAATATTTGCAAGTGAATCTACCATTTTTGTGAGCGCATCAATCTTTTCTGCCAGATCTTTTACAGTGTCAGTTTTTGGTTTTTGATCTTTCGCCTCTTTCCTTGTCTGCTCAACTTTTACTTCATCCACATGTGTTACATGAGCATTTGCATGTTTTGTCCTTTGTGTGGGACCCAACCTACGATGACGCTCACTCTCTTCACTTGTCACTTTCATTACTTGTTTCAAGATTGTCTCATCAGTGACAGTCTGATCTGCGAGTAGGGGCTTAAGTTCTCTTCTGATGTTGTTATCCTTGTGCCCTATGCCTTGATAAACTGTATGTAAAAAGACACCTTGAATCGTTTCTGGTGTGTATTTAATCTCTGAATCAGACTTTTTAGACTCAAAAAGGATTCTTTGTTTTAGGCCAATCACACGATACAGGAATTTTTGGGTTGTTTCATTGTCTCTCTGTTTAGCGCAGATCAACTCCTGGAACAAC